GGGGTTGGACTAGATGACCCACAGAGGTCCCTTCCAACCCCTACCATTCTGTGATTCTGCTTCTGTGATTCTGGTCAGTTTGAGAGAGCATGGTTCATTTCTTTGTGAAGACTGGGGTTAAATGAGAGCACCTATTTTTCAAAACTTCAGCATTTCAGGAATTTTTGTTGCCTTGTTTTACTCTTAATAAGTTGCCAATAATAAGTAATTTAGTAAGTTGGGTAGATTTATCCCTCTGCACTGAAATCCTGCAAAAAACTACTGCTGAGAAGTGACTGTTGTGGTGTTTAACTTTTTGTTGGTTTACAAATATTTTCATTGTAATTTGTGAAATGCGTGCATGTTTGGGAACTGAAAATGTAAGCACTGTCAATACATCCTCAGTGTTTTAGAACATTGTAACCAAGCTGAAGTTTTTCTCATTTAAACTGTCCTTTAGTATTCCATCAAATATTTTCTATCTATAAGTACCTCATTTCAACGTTCTGGAAAATAGTCATAGAATCATAGGTTGGAAAAGACCTCTAAGATCGAGTCCAACCGTCCGCCCAACAACACCATGCCTGCTAAACCATATCCCGAAGTGCCACATCTACACGTTTTTTTAAACACTTCCAAGTATGGTGACTCCACCACCTCCCTAGGCAGCCTGTTCCAATGCCTGACCACTCCTTCAGTAAAGAAAATTTTCATAATATCTAATATGAAACTCCCCTGATGCAACTTGAGGCCATTGCCTCTCAACCTAACACTAGTTACCTGGGAGAAGAGACCAACACCCACCTCACTACAACCTCCTTTCAGGTAGTTGTAGAGAGCAATAAGGTCGCCCCTCAGCCTCCCCTTCTCCAGACTAAACAGCCCCAGTTCCTTCAGTCGCTCCTCATAAGACTTTTTCTCTAGACCCGTCACCAGCCTCATTGCCCTTCTTTGGACATGCTCCAGCAACTCAAAGTCTTTTCAGATATGCTCTACAGAAGTTTAAATAAAATTCACTTGCTATTTTTTTGTATTTCAAAGCTGCATGCAAGACAGAAGCATGCTTTTTTCCACTAGTATAAATTTTTTAAGCAAACATAAAAATATAGTGATGAGTTTGATATCGTAATAAGGTGATTCTGATAAAATTAATGATATTATTTATGTTTTCAGTAAAGTTTTTGCATGACCATGGATTAAGTATTTTCATAAATCTTTGCAGTAGTGGTTCTCTTTTTCTGGTTTTGCAGGTTCAACAGGTATTCAGGGTTTGGGGCAACCTTTTGTTTGCTGCTGGTTTTTATATTATTCCCATCATATTCCTATCCTGTTAATGTTAAAGCCACTCATTACTTCATGCTCAATTCTTTTCTTGCTTTTAAAAATTTCCTTCTATTTAAGGAATACCCATGTTGATCTGGTGTACAAAACAAAGCATCTCTTGAAAATCCATTTCTGTAGGCACTGAAAAGGAAACTAACCTATCCATGCACTAGAGAAGCAGGGATGATTTAATCAGTTGCTTATCCTGAGGAATCATCAGTTGTTGGAAAAGTGGGATTCTGAGAATTTTGTCATTACAGGTTACATAGAAGACTAATGAATCTGAACAACAGAGTAGACAGGAGCGTGCTGAAGCTACATGTTTTGGCAATTTAAAAAGCAAAAGCATTGCAAGGTCCTGCAGTAATTTTGCGCCACAGACAAATAGAAATCAATAAAACAAAGAATGAGCTAAATAAATAAAATAAAGAATGATTTATTTTTGAAAAAAAGTCCTTATATGCATACTGGCCTGTCATAAGCATAGACAGAGAAGTCATTATTTAGAGATGCACAGATTAGTTCTTCTTACTTCAAGACCAAAAAACTCCCTCTTATGTGCATTTTTTTATATAGCTTTGTCAAAATTGTTTGTTAATGTACATGAATATTCACATACTGAAATACAGGAGAGTGGAAGCATTTTGTTTGTGTGAGTTCTTCTATTGATAAGTCTGTAAATATGAGGAAAATTGTTCTTGATGTCAACCAGATGCTATTCAAGGAGGGGTAAGTAGAAGTAGATTTGGTAATTTATCACCAGCATTACAAATAATAAAACTGTGGCTGCAGAACTACAATATTGTAAATATACTGCAAAATGATACCAGAAATTGGAACTGGAGGTTTGGTTTTATTACGGTGTCTTCAGTTGTCACAGTACATGTGGTTACTTAGGAAGGGAGAAAAAAAAAGATAAGGCTTGGAGAGTGAAGATACTTGCCTTCCTCTTTCTGAGGAACTTAGTAAGGTAACTGTTTTTCTTAAATAATTTCTTTTACATGTGCTAAACACACCTTATCTCTTTTTAATGTAGATCTCCAGCACAATCCAATGGATCTTCTCCAAAACCTCTTAGACAACGTATTCAGAAATCTATGGATGAGAAGAAAATGAAGGTACTGTGTATCAATTGCTATGCCACTATAGATGCACTGAAATAATAATGCTAAAATGAAAATAAGTGTTGAAATTCTCAAATACTTGGCTATTTAGCTAAAGAAATGTAATTGTGGTTCACTTGTGGTAATTGGCCCAGCTCAAACAGTATTGTAATAGAAATGGAAATATCTAAAACTCCAGAACAGAAAGGCTTTAAACTTAAAAGTACTTTCTAATGAAGATCGCTCAGTGGAGATATACTGAGTTAATCTATATCTCTTCATTTAACATCTGTGTATTTCAGGACTATAGAAATAAAACTGAGGCTATGTGAAAACAGAGATAAAACTGAGCACAGGTGCCTAATTTCAGTTCTGATAATGTAGGCATTCTAAAAGTGTAATAATGACAATTTCATTGTATTTGAGGGGGATGTTTATTTGTAACATTCTGAGGACATTTCTGTAACATTGCTTTGTGAACAATACAATAAAGATGCTAATGTTTGCTATTTTGTAGATGAAATGGAACATTGCAAGAGTATGTTGGTGTTGAGTGGTACTATTCAAAAGAACAATTTCCATCTTTCTGAAAATTGAAGTCTTCCAGTGTACTGCATTTTACATAGTCTTTGTTCTTCAAAATTGTCAAACCTGAGTGTTGGGATTATGGAAAGACACAGAGCTTGTATCTTCCACAGCATTTCAACAGGGAGCTGAATAAAAGTAGAGGCTTAATATTTTAAACAAACTTAGCCCTGACAGCAGATCAAACCACAAATGTATTTAATATATAAGGAAGAAAACAGAGATGTTTTAAGCCATCAGAATTAGTTTGAAAGCAGCATAATGGAAAATATCTTTATGCCTGTGGACAAGGGGGGAATTTTAACATATTACATGTTTAAGAAGTAGAGAGGTGTTAAAAGGAAGTAAAATGAAAAGCATTGTCAATATTTCCAGTATATGTCTTAAATACACTACAACTTTATTCGGAGTGCTTTTTTTGGAATCGGGGTGGTGTGGATGTTGGGTGTTTTGGATACATGCACTAATTATTGTGAAATTTAGTTTAAAATACATATGCAAATTAAATGTTGAAACTGATAAAAGATTTTCATTGTATTTTATGATAAACAGCCTATTTAAATTGCAGCTTTACTCATCAGATAGCAAAAATGTGGTAGGCTCTTTGCATAATATATTGAAATAGATAGTTTTCTTATCTAAATGGAGGTTTTATAATTGATTCATGAACAGCTGTGTTCAGTATCAAAGTACAAAAAAATATTATTTACAGTTAATTACCTGTCACATCTGAGAACTTTTCTTGAAACTTGCAACGTGTTTGACACGAACTATCAAAAATATGAGTATTGAGGCTGATTCATATTATGAAACTATTTTTGCTTTTACTTGGAAATACTTTTTTGGTAATCAAAATTACCAGATTGGCTACCATAATTTCTCTGCAATTAGCAGTTCATTCAGAAGTCTGTGAATAATTGAGTGAGTTCTAATTCAGGAGCAGGAATTGCATGCAAAGGTTCACCATGACACTCTTCTGTGCTGCTTTTGTAGTGCCTGACGCTAAGAAGCGTTCTGTGACTCCTTTGATCCTTTTTAATACGTTACAAGAAGATTTTTCCATAGTACTCTTGTCCTAGCCTTGCTTCAACATGATTCGTAGAATCATAGAGTGGGTTGGGTTGGAAGGGACCTTAAAGATCATCTAGTTCCAACCCCCCTGCCAAGGGCGGGGGCACCTTCCACTAGAGCAGGTTGCTCAGAGCTGCATCCACCCGGGCCTTGAACACTTCCAGGGAGGGGACAGCCACAGCTTCTCTGGGCAACCTGTGCCAGTGTCTCACCACCCTCACTGTAAAAAATTTCTTCCTTGCATCTAATCTAAGCTTACCCTCTTACAGTTTAAAGTCATTCCCCCGAGTGCACCTTGCTGGATCATGTTGAGCTTTTCACTGATCAACACCCCCAAGTCCTTGGCAGGGCTGCTCTCAATCCTTTCTCTGGCCAGCCTGTATTTGTGTTTGGGATTGCCCTGACATATGTGCAGGACCCTGCACTTGGCTTTGTTAAACTTCATGTGGTTCGCACAGGCCCAACTCACAAGCCTGTCAGGGTCTCTCAGGCATCGCTTCCCTCCATTGTATTGACCGCACCACACAGCTAGTTGTCGACAAACCATGTCACTGACAATGATGTTGAACAGCAATGGTCCTAGTACTGAACCCTGAGGAACACCACTCGTTACTGGTCTCCACTTTGACATCAAGCCATTAACTGCAGCTCTTGGAGTGTGACCGTCCAGCCAATTCCTTATCCTCTGAGTGGTCCGTCCATCAAATCTATGTCTCTCCAATTTAGAGACAAGGATGTCATGTGGGACAGTGTCAAATGCTTTGCTCAAGTCCAGGTAAATGACATCAGTTGCTCTTCCCTTATCACAGAATCGCAGAATCACAGAATAGTAGGGGTTGTTATCCACCAATGCAGTAACCCTGTTGAAGGCCACCAAATTTGTCAGGCATGATTTGCCCTTAGTGAAGCCATTTTGGCTGTCACCAGTCATCTCCTTATTTTCCATGTGCCTTAGCATAATTTCCAGGAACATCTGCTCCATGATCTTGCCAGGCACAGAGGTGAGACTGACGAAATAGAACGTACCTGTAGCAAAATAGAATGAAACATTTAATGTTGTTAACCAATAGTTTTTGAGATCTTTCAGTCAACTTCTAGAACTGATTTTGATGCCCATCAAGTGCCTAATATAATAGAAGATCAGTATATTGAAGTCTAAATTACCTTTTGTCTTATGAAAATCAATATTCCAAGAGAACAAGCAACAGGTCTAAAGTCTGTGGTTCACATTTTGAAACTTTCTTCAGCATCTTAGACTGTAAAGCTTGCTTATAGTGTTATCTTTTGCACATTACATCTGGTGGGCTCTCTTCCCCTGCTTCAGCAATGTGGATGGTTAATGTGATTAACATGTTAAACTGAATGGCTGCTTGGAGCTATACGACTTGTATCTTAGAGCAACACTGAGGCTGCTAAACTGCCTCAGTAATCACAGTCAGTCTTCTTTATGGCTTTCTTCCAGTGTATCCTGTTGTAAGAGAGAGACAAAGTACAGAATGGAACTGAGGTCAAATATCTCAAGGTGTTTTTCTATTTAAAAATTGAAAATAGAAATCATGCTGTTCAGAGCATAAATGTTCTTCAATTATGTGTCAGCATAGTCTTCTTACTCAAGATAAGACATCTGAGTGTTTCACATTGTCTGCAATTCTGTTTTCTGTGTGTCAGCCAAACATTGCTATATAAACTACACTATATTCCTATGAAGTCTGGAATTATTCTTGTAGCATTCTTGTGTTCGCTTCAGCCTTGCTTCTTCCAGTCAACAAAATTGCTGTTGACAAACAGCTAATGGCTTTTGTAACTAGAACTCAGATAGTTCTCTGCCATTCATCTTTGATCTCCATCCTCTCACATAATATCCCGCTTTCTTTCTTGAAACATTCATCTTTCATTTTGTCTTTTTCTGGTTTTCTTTCTACCTTTCTAACAATTTCTACATAGTTTCTTTTGCATATTTCTACTCCTCCCTTTTCTTCCTCCTATGAAGACTTTATAGGGCCCTGTCTTTCTCTTCTTTCTGTAACTTCTTTGTAGATGAATAAATTTACAAAAGAAGTTCGGCTGTCATCTTTATATGAACAGTTCACAGAGCTATATCTGACATAAATGTCCCTTATGTCAAAACTGACATCTTTCATTACCTCTACACCATCCTGTGAACACCCACTGTTGATCTTGGGGTGTATGTCTGTCTTTCCTGGTATATTTAACATTGAGGACAGTATACTACGTGTTACTTTTTAAGTCCATAGCACTTCTGGAATATATTCTTCTCTCTCTGTATGTCCAATAAACTATAAATTTTTTAAAGATTCATTTTGCTTTTTCATGTGCTGCCATGTATTTTGCTAGGACTTGATAGTTGCAGCTTTGACCTATTAACTGAGATTGCTGTACAAAAAGTTGTTATTAAAGTGGTTAGATGCTAGATGCCTTTCTTCTGTTTGTGTCTCAGTCTACTCCTTTAAACTGTAGTAGCTATAACCTGCTTGTTTTAACCTATCCCAGCCCATTGATTATTCCTGGTTTGCTGCTTGGAGATGTCTATTCTTGCTTACATTCAACCTGCAATACCAGTCTTCATTGTTTGTGTGTTAATTTTCAGACTAACTCTATTACCTGTCTGTTTTATACTGTTTCTTATGGCTGAAGAGGTTTCCCATAGGTGTCTGCAGAACTCATTATCCTTCTTTAAAACCTTTTTCAGTACCTTTATATCAACCTCTCCCCAAAACTTAGCAGTGCTTTATGTTGAGATGGATGCCCGTTACAATGACTAATTTCAGTTCCTTTCTGTATGAATCCATATATTACTTGTCTTGGATTGTAATGTCTCTTGGTAGAAATAAATTTTGTTCTCTTTTCTGTGCAGCACATAGCACAATGAATTCCTTGTCTGTGACCATAGATCTCAACTGCTGTAGAAACTTTTATCACCTTCTTACACTGAATATCAGTCTTCACTATTATTTCATACAACCATTGTGAAATGTGTACAGGTTGCTTATAAAATTCACAGCTGTACATTGTTATGCATAATGCACTTGTTTTAGCAGTCTACTCAGAAGAGATAGCATACATATGTTTTTTTGAATAAGACAATAGCAACATCATGTTTCTTTTCAATGTCAATCTCAGTGATTCTTCTGAGAAGTTTCTTATGCAGTAGGTGTGATGGTAGCATTAGTGTCATAAAATTGTCTGAAGGACATTTTACTGTGCTGCCTCTGACAGGTGGTTAGATGGTTACTCTATAGTACAAATGCATGATCTCTCATTAGAACTTATCCCATAAAAGTCTTTTTCCATGATATTTGAGAGGGGAAGGAAAACACAGTAGTGATGATTACTTTGAT